TGACAATCCTATCTTAAGGTTGCTGTGCCAGCCCCATCTTGATATTGGTATCAATAACATGGATATTATCACTTACTTCCATGACTCAAGTGTTACTTACACCGTGTGTTATAGCACATAGTTGAGAGATAACCCTCTGCTGATCCTGTGGTATTTTCTACTCTTGGTTGTGACAAGTGGGATTGGGAAAGATCTTCCCTGGATGAAGAGGTTTTACCCACAAGGCCTTGTGCAGATCTTGTTCCATAGCCAAGTAGAAAAATCAGCTGAGTACAAAGCTGATTGGCCGACATACTTGCCCATTCCTGCTTATTGCCATTTAGGCTGTTGTGACTTACTGTCAGTATGAGAATAAACCAGTGGGAAGAATCGGTTTGATCACAGCCAGAAGTGTGTGACTGGTTATTATATTTTCTCATCTGTGAAACAATTCATTGTAACCCTCAAGACAGGGATCTGTCTTCATTTTTTCGCGCTCTCTCAAGCTTGCATTCTCCTGCTTTCTCTGTAGTAATGAACACACAGCTCCTTAAACTAGATTAGGTCTAAAATACCACATTTTCAAGGAAAGCACCTAGAAAATGAAGAGGTAAAAAAAAGTCTGCCTTTCTCATTCCATGTAGTACATAAAAGCTGGTTAGGCCAAATTTGCTTTCCTGTGCCCTGTTAATGGTCTCCTCATAACCCAAAACACAGTCTCAATGGCTAATCAATAGTCCCACAGGGATTTACAGATCGTCCAGAAGGGGAAAATGCCAGCCATACAGGGAAGTAAATTTAGCATCTTTAGGCAAACTCCTACATGAATTTTTTAAAAACAAGAGGCAAGCAAGTGTGTCTGTGTGCGTTTGTGTGTGTGATATGTTTGGTTGGGGAAGAGGTTGTTGGCCGAATGAGGGCTCTGATTGCTTAATCTATTTTCTGCTAATCCAAGCCTGAACCATCTAGCTACTGGAATAGATCATGAAAATGGGGGAAAAAAAGAAAACAGAGAAGCTTCACAATATAAATCTGTTCCTTATTGCTTACAGCTCCAGGCAGCCCTAAGAATCAACTTTTATTAGCTTCCTATTAGAGGACCATTTCCCTTATAATTTGATTATTAGAATGAATATATTTGAAATCTACATTTCCATATAGATAGAACCACTCTGTTTTTATGACCCTGATGCGCTCTTGAAGACTCACAAAAAAGACTCCATCTAAATTTCCTCAGCTGATTGTTTCCAAGAAAAAAACATGAACAAAATCCACTGAGTTAAGGGAGAGGTCAAACCTAGAGAGTGATGAATGGCGAAAGTTGGTCACCTTGAGCCTTATTAGAAATAACATGTTTTTATCTTCTTTGTCTTTGTGGAGCACATCAATTAAATACAAATACCTACTAAGGACACACAAACATCCACAGAAACCCTGCAACCCACCAGCCTGAAGTGTTCACTACCCAGTTCCATGTAGATATTGAGAACAGATAACATTGACTGGCTTTTTACCATAGGCTAAGTACTGACAACATCATGTTATTTGTAACTCTCTAAATGATGGGTGCTATTGTTATTCTCATCCAATGAATAAAGAACTTGTAGACTAGAGAATTGAAAGGCAAAGGCAATATCCACAAGTTTTTAAAAATTTTTGTGTTTTGTCCTTTTTATATTTTAAACAATTTTAGTGGACATAAATTTTTGCATATTTATGGATACGATGTGATGTTCTGTTACATGCATACATTGTATAATAGCTGATAGAGTAAATACACTTATCCTTTCAGGCATTTAATATTTCTTTATACTGTAAACACCCCAAATCCTATCTTCTAAGTTTCCTTTAAATAGAGAAATACATAGTACCTTAACTAGTACTCACCAGTAAACCTTTCCCCTAACCACTCTCCCCACTTCCCTCCCCAGCATCTGGTAACCAGTTATATTTTTAACTTCTATAAGATCACCTTTTTAGACTACATATGAATGAGATCATGTATCTTTCTGTGCTTGGCTTATTTCACTCAACAAAATGACCTATAGTTCCATCCATGTTTTTGCAAATAGCAAAATTTCATCTTTTTTGTGACTCAGTAATAGCCCATTGTTTATATGTACTGTATTTTCTTTATCCATTAGTCATTTCATGGACAGTTAAGTTGTTTCCATTTCTTGGCCATTGGAAATAGTTCTGTAATAAACATGGAAATGCAGATGTCTCTTCAACAGACAGATTTCGGCTCCCTTGGGTATATAACCAGAGTGGGATTGCTGGATCACATGATAGCTCTATCTTTAGTTTTTGTGATGAAACAAACCCCATACTGCTTTGCATGACTCTACTATTTACATTCCTACCAATTGAGTGCAAGGATTCCCTTTTCCCCACACCCTTGCCAACACTTGTTACTTTTTGTCCTTATTGGAGTTCTGATTTGCAATTCTCTGATGCTCAGTGAAGTTGAGCACTGTTGGCTATTGGTATGTCTTCCTTTAAGAAATGTTGGTTTAGGTTTGGTGATGATATTTTATTTTTATTTTTTACTATTTAGTTGTTCAATTTCTTGTGTATTCTGGATATTAACTCCTTGTTAATAAACTCAAAATATAACATGCAAATATCTTTTCCTGTTGTAGGTTGTCTCTTCCCTCTACTGATTGTTTCTTTTGCTGTGAAGAAGCTCCTTGATGAAATCTCATTTTTCTATTTTTGCTTTTATTTCCTGTGATTTTTGGGTCTGGTCTAGCAACTCTTGTTCATTTCCATGTCCTGAAAATTTTTACCCCTGTATTTTCTTCTAATATTTTTAGAGTTTGAGGTCTCACATTTTAGGTCTTTAGTCCGTTCTGAGTTGATTTTTGCACATGGTGAGAGAGGGGATCTGGTTTCATTCTTCTGCAAATCAATATACAATTTCCCCAGCACCTTTATTAAACAGACTATAATTTTTTCAATGTGCATTCTTAGCATCTTTTAAAAAGTCAGTTGGCTGTGAGTCTGTGTGTTTACTTCTGGAGTCTATTCTGCTCCATTGGTCTGTGGATGAATGCCAACACCATGCTGTTTTAATTATTGTAAATTTGTGATATATTTTAAGGTCTCCTCCTTTTGCTTTGTTCTTTTTTTTTTAGAGAGATTTATTTATTTATTTGAAAGTCACAGTTGCACAGAGAGAGAAGGAGAGGCAGAGAGAGAGAGAGAGAGAGAGAGAGAGAGAGGTCTTCCATCTACTGATTCCCTCCCCAGATGGCCACAATGGCCAGAGCTGTGACGACCCGAAGCCAGGAGCCAGGAGCTTCTTCCAGATCTCCCATGCGGGTGCAGGGGCCCAAGGACTTGGGCCATTTACTGCTTTCTCATGCCATAGCAGAGAGCTGGATTGGAAGAGAAACAGCCGGGACTGGAACCAGCACCCTTATGGGATGCCAGCACTGCAGGGGGTGGCTTTACCTGCTATGCCATAGTGCCAGCCCCACTTTGTTCTTTTTGATCCAGGAAACTTTGATTATTTGGGCTCTTTTGTGGTTCCATACGAAAAAAAAATTTTTTTTTTGACAGGCAGAGTGGACAGTGAGAGAGAGAGAGAGACAAAGAGAAAGCTCTTCCTTTGCCGTTGGTTCACCCTCCAATGGCCGCCGTGGCCAGCACGCTGCGGCCGGCGCACCACGCTGATCCGAAGGCAGGAGCCAGGTGCTTCTCCTGGTCTCCCATGGGGTGCAGGGCCCAAGCACTTGGGCCATCCTCCACTGCACACCCTGGCCACAGCAGAGAGCTGGCCTGGAAGAGGGGCAGCCGGGACAGAATCCGGCGCCCCGACCGGGACTAGAACCCGGTGTGCTGGCACTGCTAGGCGGAGGATTAGCTTGTTGAGCCGCGGCGCCTTCCATACAAATTTTATTAGTGTTTTATCTCAGTTCTATGAAGACATCCACAGTGTAAAAATGATGAATTGGAAGTAAAAATTAGGAAGCATGAGTCAAGAGTCCAAACTCTGAACTGTTCTGCCTTACTGTTTACAAAGCATGTCCATAACCATAATTTCATTTGATTCCTACACTAGACCTGTGAAATAGTTATTATCATTCTCATTCTAAAGACACACATGTAGGCTCAGAACAAGACATCACCTGGGCACATTCACATAGTCAATCAAGCAATAGAGCCAGAATCTTCAAATCCAATGTTTCTCGACTATTCACATTGAAAGGGCATTTGGGAGAATAGGTTTGTATCTCCAGTAAACAACGAGGTCATTCACAGTAAGACTCCATGTCTCTTAGACATTTTTTACAGATATGAGATTTGAATGCACTTGGCATTTAGAGTAATGTGTGAAGTAGGGCTCTGTGGAAATGGTGAATGTCCTTACATTCCTTATCTTCTACACCACAACCAATTCTACTACTTTTTTATGGTTGGAAAATGCTATCTCTCTTGAGACATTCAGAATGACAAGTGGAAAATTGTTTCATTAGTAGAACAATGGGAAATTAATCCTTTATCACATTTTTCCCTTTTGGCCATGAAAACTTTTGAGTTAATGTTCAATAATGAGTAGAAAAAAATTGATTAAGCATAATCATATAAAACAGAATTGTTCCAAATCGATTCCTCCCTCCCTCCATTATTTTTTTAAATTCCCTTTTTATGTTCCTGAGGAACATTTATTTAAGACAGAAGTCATTTCCTTAAAGTACAATAGGATGTGTTTTTAAAATTTTGGTAAAAAAAGGAAAGGTGATCCTGTTGAATGAAAATATAAGTCCTTCTTTGTGGGAAAATTTTTTTCACTATGTGCTTTAGATGTGATTAGGCAAACATGTGACTTTGGTCATCCAGTAAGACCTGGGAGTAAGGGATGAAGTATTACTTCTCTCCAGTAAAATGAATGCTTTCAAGGTAAGATTTCTAGCAATAATTTTGCTAATGATGATTTGAGCTAATCTAGTCTAAATCTCTTATTCAAATGAGCTTCATGATACTTAGAGGAATTGACTTGCCCAATCTCTTCTCAGGATGGGAATGTGAGGCATGGGAAATGAATGAAAATGGAGATAAAGGTTCAATATCAAATTGAAACAGTGAAATGTGTCCAACTGGTTCTTCAAGCAAAGAAAGCCTAAGGGAATATGCAGGACCTAAGTGTGAAACCAGCAAAGATGAGATCAGAGGTAAGAAGACTAAGGGTGATTTGAGTGAAATGTCAAAAGTAGTGATATCTTTGTACAATCTTATAGTGGAATCCATCTGTTATGCCCAAGACTGGGCAGTACTTTTCTGAAGGTTACACAGAAGTCTGAGATAAATCAGGGGCAAGGACCCAAGTCTCCTTGTTTGCCACTATCTTGCAGTGCTAATACAGGAAAGGGTTTGTGGTAAATGAATCATATGTGTTCCGGAATTAAGTCAGATGCATGTCAACTTGGCTCTACTCTGGTAAATTTCCTGTGTTTTTTTTTTTTTTTTTAACTTTTATTTAGTGAATATAAATTTCCAAAGTACAGCTTATGGATTACCTGTGGTTTTTTTTTTTTTTTTAAGGTTAAATTGAAATAAAATCTCATAGGGTGTTGAAGATAAATAACATGAAAAAGAAAAACAAACATTTAGCACAATTTCTGGCTCAAAATGAGCCTGCAGTGAGAGCTGTGGTGACTGTTGACTAAGATGACAGAAGCAGTGCTTCCTGTGTTCTAGTGTGCTTCACTCCAACAGCAGTCTCCTTCCTCACAGGGGCTGGCCTGATGAGAGGGCTGGCTGGAAGGGGTGCTCCCTGTGACTGTGCGGAGGGATCCCTCTGGGTGAGACACAGGCATTGCTCTATGATTTCATCACCAGCATTTTCAAACCAACAACACATGAACCAGGTCAAATTCCTGTTGTCAGCTGTCAGCTCGGAGTTGGGAAACTTAGTTCTGACAAATACTACTAGTTTAGTGGCAGAAACCAAGATTTCTAGGCTAGAATTAGGGATAAGGCAATACTCAAAAATAAGAAATTCTTACACCTGTTGCTTTGTCTCTCATGATATATCAATAAAAAGAAAATACACCAGCAAAACATATATCGTTTATGTGAAAGACAGTTGATAATTTTTGTTTAGAAATAGAGAGGAGAAAATTGATAACAAAATATTATTGATTTAACAAGTCAAGAAACATTTATGCAGAAATAATTCACAAAATAATTGAACTTCCTAGTATGAGAGTTGGGGAGGGAATTTATTCATATAATTTACAATTATGAGGTTATGTTGCATGAAGATTGAAGTATGTTTTAAAGGCCACTGGATATGTGGGAAATATCTTTTGATGCTCCAGTGGATATTCCAAAAATTGGCCTTTTAGATTCAAATCTATAATTAGAGTCCATGTTTAATATTCCATCTCTCTTTTTCTCTCAATTTTCTTTATAACTTTTATGCTTAGTAGAGTGCCTGGCTCAATAAATATTGAATGAATGGCTGCAGGCTCTACAAAAGTTCTTATAATGCTAAAACAAGCCAATATTTATTGAATAACTACTATTGCCTAAGTGCTATTTTGAAACTTTTGTGTGTATTAACTCTTAATTCTCTCAACAACTTTCAAAGATAGGAATGATTATCCCCATTTTACAGATTAAATACAAAAACTGCAATTTGTGGAAAATTAAATGAAAAGATAAAAAATAAAATAAAAAATAAATAAAATAAAAATAAATAAAAAATAAAATAAAATAAAATAAAAAAATCAACGTAAGCTCCACCAGATTTGAGACATCTCTGTGACTCACAGGGTCAGCCACTTAGCCTATCCCTAAAGAACTAGGGGTCCTGGGAGTTCAAGCCTGTCAACTCAGTGTTTTCACATAATGAACTGAAGAACCAAGGGGGAGCTTTAAAGATGTCTTAAAAATAGGAAACAAAAAGAAATCAGAAGGAGTCAAACAGCACCATAAGAACTGATGCCTCATGATTTCCCATTGGAAACTCTCACAAGTTGTGCTTGTATGATGAGAGGAATGAGCAGGAGCATGGCCCTGGCTATGGTGAAGGATTCTCTGGTGAAGAGTTCCCAGCATTTTTCTGTGAAATGCTGGGATACATTTCTCAGTCTCATAACAAGCAGTTGTTATCATTGTTTGGCTACACAAAAAGTCAGCAAGAAAAATGCCTTGAGTACCCAAAAACATTGCATGACCATTGCTCTCAATTGGCCTGCTTTTGCTTTGACTGGGCCTCTTCCAACTCTTTGTTGCCATTACTTTGATGGTGCTTTCTCTTCAGGATTGTATCGCTACAGCCTCTTTCATCATCTATTATAATTTTTGAAAGAAATGCTTATAGATATTGATCTCTTCCATTTAAAATTCCCCTGTATAGCTCTCCTCTAATCTGCAGCTGATCTGGGTGCCCAGATTTTCCCATTGAGTCGGAAATGTGTAAGTCAAGACAATTGGTGTTAGCTACAGTTTCTGCTATGAATCATCAATCTCCTTCAGTTAGGCATTAAAAATGATTAATTTTTTCTTTCCAAATTGATACACATGGTCTGCCATTAGGACTTCATCTTCAAAATTGTTTTGCCCCTTCTTAAAGTGAGTTGCCCATTTGCAAACTGATTTCTTTGGGATGTTATTCCCACAAACTCTTTTCAAAGTATCAGTACTTTCACCATTCTTCCACCGAAGCTTCATTGTAAGTTTCATGTTTTTCTTGCTTCCATTATAGCAGAATCCATGCTGCTGTAATAGGAACTTCTTCCAAACTGATGTCTCATCATTCTCAGTGCTTTAACTAGATTTTGTTAAGGTATTTTAAAAGAAGTTAGTATGAGATTATTGTGGTCCAAAAAATTGGAACTCCAAGCATAATTTTTTTTCATGACAGGCATTTTCCATGAATTTTTCAAAGACCCCTTGTATAGAGAAATTAAGTAAGTTCTCCTAAGTCACAGAACGGGAATGTAGAGCTTGCTGTTTGTACCATTATGTTGCTCTGTGGTCCTAAGGTGCAAGTAATAAAAAGGCAAAGTCCCTGTTTTTAAGGTAATCTAGGAGTAGAGAAAGATAAATGCATTACTATAGCATGTTGAAAGGCAGAGTAATTTAATAATTAATAGCATAGAACCCAGAGTTGCAGAACCTATTTCACAAAGAGAGGACAAATTTCACAAAACATTTCACAGAGGAAGTGGGAGGATAACATGCGATCATGAACACAAATGACTTTGGGCCTAGGGAGATGGTCTCAAATGAACGAGAGGGGATGAATATATGACTGTCTATCTAAGAGGTATGTTGGCAACTGTGTTTATTATTGTGTATATTATTATGTATATATTGTGTATATTATTATGGGCTGAAGTATGTTCCACCAAATTAATATGTTGAAGCTCTAACCCTCTGTACATCATAATGTGACTGTATTTGTAGACAGGAATTTTAAAGAGATGATTAAGTTATACTGAGACTTATTGGGAAGTCCTTAATCCACTGTGATTGGCGTCCTTATAAGAATAGCCATTTGGACTCACAGAGGGACACCAGGGGTGCACCTGTAGAGGAAAGACCAAATGCAAACATAGGGAGAAGGCAATCAGATGCAGGCAATGAGAGGGACCTCAGAGCAAATCAAATCTGCTGACATCTTGTTATTGGAATTCTAGTCTCTAGAATTGTGAGCAAATATGTTTATGTTCTTCAAGATCCCAATCTGTGGCATCTTGCTATGGAAACTCAAGCAAACAAATAAGTCATTAGGATGAGTAGCCACAAATGCTAGTATGTCTTTTCATTGGCACACTTAGACTTGTGATCATATTCCCATGTAATCATTTTTCAGAAGAAGCTGTACATTCATATTTTCTATTTGAAATATCCTAATTTTTTAAAAAAATCATTCAATTAATAAAAGGTTAAACCCAGTTAACTCAAACAAAATACTTCAGAGTAGGCTCATAAGACCTTAGTTTGGAACCTCTGCTATAACTCACATAGACATCAGCAGTGTGTCTGGCTCATCAGTGGTTACTACAAAGTGAGAATTGCTGTGCAGGAATAGGCCTCTTGGAGAACCAGAGCTTCCAGCTCTGTGGATGAGAATGTAGGGCCAATTGGTGGCCCAGAAACGTCTTTTTAGGTGGCAATACTTGGCCTGACACCTGACAGATGACTTCTAATTGTCCAAATAGGAGAAGGGTAGCAAGTGAGTTTTTTTTTCTTTTTTTTTTTTAACAGATAAAGGCAGCAGTTATCAATGGATCTGAGAAAAGAGAAAAGATGGCCTTTTTGTGAAGTGCAAGTGGCATTATCATTATCTATGCAGCATAGAGTTACAGGCAGGGAGTATTGAGGCTTGAGGCAGGGAGGGAAAGGGGAGGCCAAATTGTTAAGGAACTTTATCCAGACAGTTCTGGCAATAGAAGAGTTTGACGCACAGCGAGGTAGATTAGATTTGCTTTTTTTTTTTTTTTAAGATTTTATTTATTTGTGAGGTAGAGTTAAAGACAGAGAGAGGGAGAGACAAACAGAAAGATCTTCCATCTGATGTTTCACTCCCCAAATGGCTGCAACAACCAGAACTGGGCTGATCTGAAGCCAGGAGCCAGAAGCTTCTTCTGGGTCTCCCACATAGGTGCAGGGACCCAAGCATCAGTCATCTTCCACTGTTTTTCCAGGCCACAAGCAGAGAGCTGAATTGGAAGATGAGGATCCAGGACACGAACTGATGCCCACATGGGAAACCCCCGTGGGTTTCAGTATCTCCCTTTTTTTCCTCTTTCTCTCCCAGAAATGAAGAGGAGCAAAGAGTAGAATATAATCTCATCTCAGTCAAGCCTTCTAGTAACAAAAAACCCTCTCCCCCCATTTCAGGGAGCCTGCATAAGCAAAAATGAAAGACAATAAAGACAATGTCTGTCTGTTTTGCTAGTTCTCGAGAGAAGAAGCTTTGACACCAGAGGAGCTTAAACAGGAGGTCACCGTGCAGTGGACTGATCTTCCAGTTGAGCAGCTCTGTTCTCAGCTCCCTGTGAATGCACAGGTTACTTCATCCCTATGGCTACCAGAATATGAATTGTGTGGCCTTGAAAATGCCTAATGGTGCAACCTGTCCTTTTTAAGTTTAAAAGTATATCACTCTTACAACCTGGCTTTGGTTTGCGATGTTGGATACTACAAGGACAGAAAC